GAGTTAGACTACTACTAGTCTAGCGAAAACGTGAAATAGCAGGAAGATCGAAACTTTGTTTTCGTTCGTCGAACGATGCGCTACATTAATAGAAAGGAAAGTTGTTCCAGAATCAGCTCATTAGTTCGAATATCTCTTCTCTTTCGGTTCAAGATCGATGGATCTCAAAACGACACGTGCATTGCCTCGGGCTTCCACTTCCACCTCTTCTTACTCTTCTTATTCTTTTCTTCGTCAAAAGAAGTAAAAAAAGAAATAATCATGAAACGAATACCGTTGCCGACGTTGTGAATTTCTGAACAATGTAAACTTTTACAATGCTATTTTTGAGATTCTTGTATGCTCAAAAAAGAAAGTCTATAAATTATTTTATATAATATTAATGAACCAAAATTAAGTTAGAAAAATTTTGCTAATGAAAATGTCAAAAAAGAAAATAAAACGAGAAAGAATAAATAAATAAATAAAAAAACCGAATAAAAAGAAATGAAAAAGAAAAAAAAGGAGAAGTAAGGGAGTATGAGGAAATTAGAATTTGTTATTAAGTATAATTAGTATCTAAGTGATAAATTAGAGTCTAACCTCATACTTTCTGAATGAAGTAAGCGCAAACTAGAACATTGGAGTCTTCCTCGATGGCCCACCTTACAAGGTCGACCGACGACATTTAATTTCGACCTCGTTCGGTCGCCTTTCTACCTCTCGAGGATTCAGATAGAGAGACCGGACACGTTCGCGGACTTGAAATGAATCGTAAACGGTAAAGGACGGGAGGGAGTACTACTACTCCTACTTCTACTACTACTACTACTACTACTACTATTACCATTACTACTAATACTATTATTATTCTTTCTAACAAGCTTTTCTAAATGTCTTGAAGGAACATTTCGTAGGGAAGAAAAGAGAAGAAAAGAAACTAAGGTGGAGAGGTTCAGAAGAAAAGTAATATATTAAAAAAAATCTACTAGAATTCGTAGTTTGCGGGTCACTTAGTCGTTTTGGGAAAATGATTATGACAATGTGAATGGGAATGAGAATGTGGCTGCGAACGTTGAATGAGAATGATAACCGTACACGACACCTCCTCTCTCGGAAAGAGAGATCGACCACGATCGTTCCTTTCTTTATGTGTGAGTAACAACTTGTGTATGAGTACCTGTATGAGTGGTGTAACCGTTAACTGGCCGGCATACTACTTTGATACCCGGTTTAACGCAACGATTCCAAACGAACTTTAACGTAGGTATACAAACTCGCGGTTAAGGCAAGCTTCTTCTTATTCTTCTTCTTCTTTTTCTTCTTCCTCGAATCGATTAAAAGGGCTTACTCGTTTAGTTTATAGCGATAACTCTACTTTTAAGACCGTATTTCTTCATTGTATTCTCAACGATTTAACGTATCGTCTATAACTTTGTTAGCATATCTTTTCTATGCCGGTTAATTTCGTTATTTTGATCCAATTCTTCTTTTTTTATTCGAACTAATTCATCCGAGCAATTTAAATAATTGATCTTATAACATATAGAAAGTTTAAAATTATTCAAGATTTTATTATATAAGCCAATAATTATGATAGTAGACTTTAGTAAAAAAAGAGATATTACAAAACTTGAGTTTATTATTTTATTATTATTTGTATGTTGAATTAAAATAGAAAATCAATTTTTTTTTAATTTCGTAACTTACAATTAGTCCAATTTAATAATTATCGACATATATATAATATTAATAGAAAAATTTGAAAATATTTTATTTTTTATCTTAAATATCTCGAATTTGAATAATGTAAATGTCATAAAAAATTAGAAAAAAATTTAATACATTTGTTTGATAGTCAATTAAAAAGTAAATATCTTAAACGAAAATGTACGAGGGTAAATTTGGATAGTTAAATGATCGTTACACGTTGATCAGTGATTTTTAATTAATAGGGCAAACGTGTTTCTTTGGTTAGAGAGTTGGTCGGGTATTCGGGAACAATTTTCAAGCGAATTCCGATGTAACCGAAGGCGAGTGGAAGCGTAACGATGACCAAGAGCTCGAGGTTCAAACTTTTTGCCCGAAGCAACCAAGAAGAATGGCTCGAATGCGTTCCGAATAAACGCCGAGATGCCGTCGGTCCGTTTTTTACCATGGAAACAACGGTACAGCAAGCAGTGACGATTCAACTGTTGATAATTCGTCAAATAGTTAATAAATAATTTAATCTAATATAATAATTTTTATATTTCCGTTCCAAAGAAAAAAATTCGTGAAAAATTCTTTTTCTTCGAAATAAATTATTAAATTTTTTAATTTTTTTAAATTTCTCCGAAATATATATATATATATTTACTTTATATATATATATTTACAATAAAAATCTCAACTTATATAAATTTGATAAAAAAATTAATTACTCTTAAAAAGAAAAAATTTAAAAATAAAACGAGAGTAATCCGTTCTCGTAAAATACGATAATAATTAATGAAATAATGAAAATTATATATGAATTAAATAAGTCGCTATATTCTTGAAATATATGTCACTCCAATGCTAGAAATGAGATATTAATTAATCACAAAGAGAAATTAATTAATTCTTCGAGCTAATTAATCGCTCAGGCAGTTTGAGTTTGTGAATGTTCCCAGACAAATCGTTTCGGTGATGAACACTCGCCGTGTGGAAAGCGATCGTGCTTCTCTCGCAACAGACTGCGTGACTAATTGTTTTGACGACAAGCTTTTGACATTGTATGCAGATTAGACGTAGAGAACAAAAGAGTCGGGTGGTATATAAATTAGAAACACTCTACTAATTCGAGAGGACGCTAATTTCATACTACTATTGCGAACGCTTCTGTAGAACTAGGGTTTTATCAATATCGAAACACGAGAACGCTTTTCAGTATTTCAATTCTCAATAATCGATGAAAAGAATTGAATGAATTTCCTTGTGATGTTATATTGAAAATAAAAAATAAAAGAGAGAGAACGAATTTTTCTCTTTTAAATTTTAAATAAAATTTCTTTCACTTTTTTTTCAATCAAATTTTTCAAATAATAATAATAATGAAACAAGTTATAAAAGAATAATTTTAACAAACTTGAATAATTCTCAATCATTTTTATAATGATTTTAATATTATACGAAGAAACTGAACAACATCTCTTTCGTAAGAGATTGCAATAAGAAATCAATATCATTTATTGAGTTTACTTTCGTGAAAGTACATGTATGTAGAAAGATGAAAAAAAAGAAAGAGATGTACATAYATACATATATACATGTATACATATATAATATATGCAGGTGTTGACGATGTTTAAGTAGGCTTAACGAGAGAAGCATTTGATTTCGCAAAAGTAAGAAGCGTACGGTCAAAAGTCTTGTTCTCGAAAGTTGCTATAAGCAAACTTATTGCATATACCTAAGAGTATACATACATCTACGAAAAAGAAACAGGAGAGTATGGATTATGTACTTGCCCTGTAAGGAAGATACGTACGCAATCGGTTCTCAACGAGCCTAAAGATTCTTGCGCAAGAGTAGAGCTCGTTCTTCTACTAGTCTTGCGTTACAGAAATTTTTTTTAATACAGTTTTTTTTATTATCCTTTTTTTCTTTTTTTTTTTTACTATACTGGAGAAAGTAGGTATACGTTTAGCGATTGCACGATGATAACATTAACAAAATGTCTTTCACTGAATCACTTTTAATGAAATTTTTATGATCACATTCAGATTATATTCAATAACAATTACTTCGTTATGTAACGAGTTTGAATAACCATTAATAATTACATGTAAAAGCACTGTATACGTTACATCTTGCGGCTTAAAAATATCATTCATTTCTGTTGCGTTTGTAGGATATTAAAGTAATTGATGGAACGTATGTATACATGAACATTGATAAAAAAAATAATCTTTAATACAAATGTGTTTTCAATACAGCGATTTAACTTCTCTTTACATTTTTTATTTATCTAGATAATTGAAAAATAAAGTATTTTCATATGTAATTTTTAACGGTAATAATATGTATAATCAAAAAAATTTAACAATACTCTAATTTATAATTTATTATATTCTACAATTGGTTTAAAAATATATCCAATATATATATGTGTGTATATATTAAAATAATATTCTACACATTTTTCAAAGAAAACGATTGAAGAACGTTTTGGTCTTATAAAACTGAAAATTTCGTGAAATAATTCAATGGTTTTGATTTTATATGGAAATGAAGCCTATAGTATAACATCATCTTCATAGATTATTCGAAGCGGGTCATTGCGTACGGAACCAGAACCTCAGCATGCATTCCGGATTTGATCGACGCGTAGCTAACGAGTTATAAGGTTATCGACACCTTCTTAACAACATAGTAATAACATGACTAAACTATTATTTTATCTTTTATTCTTATTATTTTCTTCGTAAAATTTTAAATCATACAAAATGAAAAAATTAAATGTATTTTAAAGGATTTATTTTTTGGTTCCTTTTTAAATACACATTATGTAAATTCCTTTTTGTTTTTTTTTTGTTTAACAGATAAAAAGACAGGTATTTGGAAGACGTCATAGGTCATAATGCCGTCGCATACTTAAAATAAACGTGCGGTATGTGTGTAGAAAAATATAGATGCCAACGAAAATTATGTGTATATATATATATGAATATAATATTGCAGATTTATTTGTGACTAAATGTTAAAGAATGAAAAGAAAAGAAATCAAAAAATGCTATGAAAAGACGTATCGCTAAATTCGCATATAAATCAAATGAAGGTAATTATCTTACAATTTTACAATAAATCAAACAAGAACAACAACAAGTAAAATGATATTAAGACTAAAACAATAGATTAGAAAATGAAAGAAATTATTTCATTGATAAAATGTCATAAGCCCAATATATATTAAAAATTTTTAATAATTCATATACTATCTAATTGAAGCAAAAAAAAGAAAGAAAATAAAAGAAGAAAAATTAAAAAATCGTACTCACTCAAAAACTTTTAATAAACACCTTTCCTTTTTCTTCTTCTTCTTCTTCTTCCTKTTCTCTTCCTGTTCGATATAAACTCGGGCAGTATAAATCGGAAAGGATTTCTCGTACGCGAGAAGAATCCAACGGCGATTGGCAGAAAGAGGCCGAGAGAGTGTTGAGGAAGAGAAGTAGAAAGAAGATCGGTCTTACGAATTGGAAATACAAAGAAGGAATGAACTGACGGTGGATCGTGATGAGCCAGTATATAGTCGGCCCACATTCCCTTGGTGCTACGAGTAACCTAAATTTCCCCCACCATTTTAATGTTAAAGCTGGGCATCGAGTCCGGGGCATCGCGTGCGTGTACCTGGGAAATAACCCCACCTGTCCTCTCTCCTCTTCTCTCACTCCCTTTCTTTTTCTTTTAGTCGCTCGTTAAAACTGATCACATGTTAGTATTAGGTAGCCAACTGTAGGAGTCGTCAGTTCATGACGACGAGACAATCACCTCCGGTTTCCCCTTTCACCTTTTTTTCGACCATACCAATTTATGTAATCCTTTTTTTCAAAAAGATGACCTAAAACGAATTAGTAACAATCAAAAAATGGACTCAACTGCAAATGGTAACTTACATTAGTCGCAACTATGTCTCGCGAAGGCCGTTACTTTTCAACTATGCTAGACGACGTTACCTTTTGTCGTTAGGACGAGATGTCAGAGTAGAAAAAGAAGAAGGAAAAAGAGGTATGAGAAAAAACACGAAGATCCGTAAAGAAGCTTTCGTAGAATAAATGAGAAACGTTGTTGTTGTTGTTGTGCAACGATGGAAAAGTCGTTGAAAGGTATAGAGAAGTATTGAATGTACTTTGTATCTTTTATAGCTACCCGATGCAATAAGTCTCTTTTATTGTAGGTGTACGCAGCATCTGTAAATACACTATAACCGTGTACATTTATAATGTCTTTTAATTGCGTAAATTCACTGATGAAAAATGTCTTCCTTCATTCAATGGATAACCTCACAATCGTTCATTCAATATAAAATGTACTTTCGATGGACTTTTCGCCTTTTGAGATCTATAGAATATGTCACATAATGAACTATGATAAAACATCAGACATTTGGATTATTAACCGGCAAAGAGAAATAGGCTTTTAAATAAATATATACTATATATATATTCGAGTTTTACAACTTTTCGATTACCCAACGATTAACGATCAAAGACGATTACCAATTTGCTTTTCACCTTTAACGTAGATCAGCAAAATTGCAATTTCATATTTTCACATGCCAAACTCGATGATGCACTTAGTTCTTCTCCATTCCTTAAAACGAAAGCGCACGTTCCGTCTGATTAATGTACACATGTAGGAACCTTCTGCAATTACTATGATGACCGAAGAAAAAACGAGAAGAATAAGAAGAAGAAGAAGAAGAAGAAAAAGAAGCTCTCTCAATGCTAAAGCGTGTTGCATCGCTTTTCGAGATTCATCTCACCGTCCACGCTCATCGCATTCGTCACGTTGCCTTTCTTTCTTTCTTTCGTACAAACGCGATCATGCTTTCCCATTTTCATACCACGAGTCTCATGATCCAGACTACGAGCTTGAATTTCTCATCCGACCCAACTTGTTTCCGACATCCTTGATCTAGATCAATCGCATCAAGGATCTCTTCCTTCGACCTTTCCATTTTCTTTTTCCTTAAAAATGAAAAATAATAATAATTCAATAAAAGACTAAAATATTCAAAAGAAGTCGTAGATAAAAAGAAGTTGTTTGCCTTTTGTGAATGTATAATATAATTTTTACAAGAAAATCATTAATCTAAAGAAAATAAAGACCCAACGAACTTTCAGATTATCTAAGATTAAACTCGAGTATCTTGCAAGGAGCTTCAAGAAGGAAACTTTTCTTCCTTCTCCTTTTTCTCCTCCTATTCCTCCTCCTCCTCCTCCTCCTCCTCCTTTTCCTTTTCCTCGATCTTTCTTGAATATCTATCTTTCGTATAAACTCATTAACCAAACATAAAAGCAAAGAGATTGGTAAAAGCAATTAACATTTAAAACAACATATTCTTGATGGTTTATTCTATCAAAATATATCCTTTTGATTTGCCCATTTTTTCCGTTGTATTTCTTTTTTTAATCTTCGCAAATCGCTCTGTGAAAGATTACATATTGAATATTCATAAGAATAGTTTACATTTGCCCAAAGACGAATACGTTTCTTCGCTTAACACGTTGTAGGAGCTAGATGAATGTCTTTTTTCGCATTTACTTTATTATGCATGGAACAATCCTGAGATCTTTTTCTCTCTCTCTCTCTCTCTCTCTTTTTTTCTCTTTTTATCAACCTTTCTTTTTTTTCTTTCTTTTTCTTTTTATCTTTTTTAATCTCTTATAATGACTTAGACGTTTATTCGTAGAAGAAATTGTCCTTATTCAAGATGTTATTTTTTTCTATTTATTTCACTTCTCTGTCATGGAAAAACGATTCGACGTAAATTGTCAAACAAATTTCACTCTCTTAAAGAGGGGAATCGTACGTTAGTGGAACGTCTATAGAATATCGCGAAGAACATTAAAAGCGAAACAACACTCGCGTTTTCCAAGTGCAACGATCTTTTCTTACAATTTCTAATGTATCGAATAAAATACTTGTACCGTTAAAATTAAATTTCTATAAGATAGTTAATCCATGATAATTCCTTGACTAGTTCGTAGATCTTCGAAATGTTTCGTAGTAATTTATATTTATATTGTTATAACAATAGAAAATGTGTTTGTCTAAGAAATGGAATACCTCTCCTCTCTGACTCTAATTAAAATCTAGCTATAACAACTTGATTACGAAGAGAAAGGAAGAATAAAAGAAATTGTTTTCAAACTATACTATCTTTTCCATTCTATCCAAGAGTAAAAGGTAATTTTCTACGAACATTTGTTGCAAGATGCTCCTCTACCTTTATCTTCCTCCTTTTTCTTTGATAACGTTTTAACTCATGAAAGTGCCACACTTTAACGCTAAATGTCTCAAACGAATTTGCCATAAATACCTTCAGCTTTGTATCCTTCACTAAATACGAAAATAATTACCAACTCGATAGCAATGCTTAAATGCGAAAAAAACAAACATTTGGTATTTGTTAAATATTTGTTGTCAAAAAATTTATTGAAAAATAATTCGTCAATATATGTAAATATTTAAAAAATTTGTTCTATATAAGGATTATTCATTTAAATCATATAATATTATAAATTATATTAAATAATTTGAAATATTTTCTATTGGAAAGATAGAGGGAAACAGAGATATAAAACGCATTGGCTCGTTAAGACAGCAGGATGCAAAATGTGGTAATGTTTATAAAAGACAAACACCTTAGACGCTAGCACTGTGTTTACGTTTTATTCGATTACTTAATCTTTTCAGACTTTTTTTTATCACGCGAACTATTTTGATGATATGTCTTTCGTTAGTTTACGTAATCTAATAAATTATTTAATTTTTCAAATGAACTTAAATTAAACTATAACATATACAAATGAGCCAACTCCAAATAAAGGGAGAAAGGAAATCGATAAGCTAATTTAAAATCTTATTTTTTGCATAGATAATATAAATGAAATCGTTTAAAAACGATTTCTCATCTTTTAACACGTACGCGAGAAATAAAAATGTGTTATATAAAAATCTGTCTTCGTAAAAAAAAAAAAATAAAATAAAATTGTATGTAATGTTGCATATATATATATATATATATATATATATTGTATGTAATGTTATATAATATATATATTACATTTTAAACACGTTTCTCTAACGTCAACTTTCTCATAACTTCTTCACATATTTCGCATAAAGTTAACATGAAATTTATCAAGAAAATTTATCGATAACGATCAATGACATTTACTTGCCTAAGAGAATTTTTCAGCTGTCGTATTATGGGAAATTCATTCGATCGATAAAAATATTTGATTTATGTGTATTGCGTAGTAGTAGATAGAGTACGACAATTTTACATACTTCTCTTTTCAAAAAGATATTTTATAAGATATTCTTAATAAAAAAAAAAATATTATATATAATATATTAAATAATTATATGGTATTAATATTATGTGTGTTTGAATTTTCATTTTATGTTAAAAGTCAAAATCATTCAGAAAATTAAAACGTTATTTGACATATTTATTATAAAAAGTAATAAAAATGTGTAAAAATTAGAAAATTTTTAAATAATAAAATACATTGCGTGATCATTTAGATGAGTCCTGTTAAAAAAATTGTTTATTTTTTTATTATAACTAAAGCATCTAGGGTAAAATCTCTGTTTAAGTTGGCCAATCTGTTATTTTGCGCATGCGTGTAAGATACTTAAACTGAGTTAATATGTAGCACAAGCTGTTTTTTAGTAAACCAGAAAACTATTGGTCAACAATATTCAATGGTCAATAACGATTGGTTAATAGCACGTGCATATCATCAATTCAGAATAACAATTTATTGAAAACAGCCTAAAGACAAAATTATTAAACATTTAACATACCCTATCTTATAATTATTAATTTAGGAATATATGTAAAAACAAAAAACTAAATTTAAATGTAAAAGATCAATTTTTTTTATGTAATATAGTTTCGACGAACTATATATATATATATATATATATATTGTTCCGAATTTAAATTCGACAAATTTTAACGCCCAAGAAAACTCTAATCTTTAATAAATGATCTTCGATGTATACGATTTTTATTATATATCTTTTTAACGAATTGTCATTAAAAGTTAAATTTTTCATTTTTTTTTCAAATTGCATATACATACAAATAACGAAAATTTCCTATTTTTATTTCACGGGAATAAGAACAACTCTTCATGTCCCATTATGTCTTTAACTTTATTTTTTTTTTTATTATCCTCGTACTAAGAACTAAGCCATTAGTTGCGGTTAAAATCCTCGTTGATTTAACATTAAAGACAAAAATATGATCTAATATGTACAAATGAGATGAGTAACGTAAGCTTAATCATTAACTTCTTCAAGGATTAGACAGATTGATATTCATTACAAAGTGGCACAGTATACAAACGCTATACACAGTTTAAGAATCGTTTAATTATTTATGTTCATTAATTAGTCCTTTTTTTTATTTATTCTTTTAATATTCCAGAAAAGTGCTTATGACGTATATTAAGATCAAGAGCTTAGTGACATATATTTATAAAGAATATTCAATTGTTGTATCGGACAGTAGTACGAAGTCCACATTTGCGAAAATATACTCCTTTTTTTCGTGGAGAAGTCTGTTTTCATGGATCCTCTTTTGCAGTACCATGCCCCATTATAATAAATCAATGTCTTTTTATTATTCTCTTTCTGTTTCGTTTTCACTCACTCACTCTCTCTTTCTCTCTCTCTCTCTCCCTTTCTTTCTYTCTACCTTTCTCGCTTTATATAACAGTTTGAAAATAATAACAAACGTATGAATGTATATGTTCATTTTGTTTCACTCTCGATCGATTCACTGTGAAAACAATCGAAAAATTTTTGTGTATGCTAATATAAATCGAAATGTTTAATTATTCTATATACACGTGAACGGTATCTATGACGTTTCATTATTATTATTATTATTATTATTTTTTGTTGTTGTTTAATTTCTATTCTTTCAATGATAAAACGTAGAAGAAATGATTTCTTTCTTTTAATAATAATATCAAATGTATTTAATATATCACTGAGAAATAAGTAATATATTTTAATTGGGTTTGTTTAATAAGAGGGATTATAGTGTAAGCCAAAAATACAGAATATTCTAAAAGTTATCGCGATTTCTTTTTTTTTAATGAAAATCGATGATTTCTTAACGATTAAGGCTTAAACAAGAAAACTCCGTAAAATCGGTCTATACACATTCATCTAAAAATTCTTTACTGGCATCAAATCAAAGCAATGATTGATTATTACACGATATCTTTCTTTTTTTTCTCGATAATTATCAGCGTTATTTGGACAATTCTTTTTTTTTTTATATGCAAGATAGTATAATTATACATTGATTATTATTACTTCACTATACATATGTGACAAATATTAAAGTATGCACAAAAAACCGGTTGAACGTAGGCCATTTGCCGTTGCAAAATATTTTCTTATTATAATACCAAATCAAAGATAAAACAACGTATAATTATCTTAAATGCTTTTTATATATTGATAATGAAAATTTCGTTTGTATTTAAAAATATGACAAGTATTGGGAAAGCGAATAAAAATCAAAAATTATTTTTCACGAGTGTTCTCAAGAACGACACGAATGATTAGGAACGTTGATTTACTAAAATTCAGCTACTCCTCTCAATGAAAATATAACATTTCGTATTGATAAAAAGCATCCCTAAATAAACGTTAATTAGAATTTTTTTTACTGATTGAATATGATGTTATAATATCTCTTACAATCGAATTTGTCGATAAATACAAACGTAACTAAAAGTCGTTAAAATTTGAAACAACACTTTCCAGTGTTCATAACATTTTATTTCCACATTTTATGGGACGGCCAGTTAGAAACGTTTTTATAAGTACTTTTTTATTTTTTTTTTATTTTTATCTTTTCTTTTTATCATTTATCTTTAACGAACGAAAACGAACAAATGAAATTAATATTTTATTCGTAGCGATTATGACCAAAACGGTCGTTTATATTAATTTTAATTAATTCGATTATAATTGCAAATTGCGAACTATAAAATATTTCGCTAAAATAACGATTTTCAAAATGTTTCACCATTTTAATCGATTTTTCATACTTTTTGAACTTGTATAACACGTTATGAATTACGGTTATTGTTATAAATAGTTTTTACCATCTATAAAAATATATATTCATTATTAACAAAAAAATTAATAGCAAATGAAATCTATTGCATTTTCTATTAGGAGCTGAAATCGATCATTTTTAAAACTATCTTTCTTTCTTTTTTTTTTCTTTTTTGTACAGTTTTTTTTTCTTAAATTCAAATACAAACTCGTCGATTCAAATTTTATATCTTATTATGAGAATTTCAAATTACGCGAATTTTTTATTGAACACGGCAACGCTTCAATTAAATTAGCTATTTACTACATTCAAGTTAATTAATCATTCAACGAATGTTCATATTCATATTTATTCATCGGCACCGATCGATATCGCTAATGAAAAGAAAACATTTTAATCGGAAAATTTTACAAGTATCATTATAATTTATAATACGTTTTTTTTTTCTAATAGAATCTCTTCTATCTGTTCATTCTAATTTTTCGTTTGAAGAAACGTACGCATAATGTTTCCCTAGTTTTCTTTTTCGACAATAATTGTCTCGTCATCTTTAACGTTTATTATTCATTTCGTCAATTTTATATTCAATTAATAATATTACCGTTTTTGAAATACTTAAATTTCGCTTTTAGCTGATTAGAAACTTAGGTTTAACAAAACAAAACAAAACGTACCTGATAATCTGGTTTCGTTCATAAAAATTAAAGAAGATAATATGCATTATTTAAGTTCCTTTTTTTCTGCCGGTTTTTATTTAAAATCCAAGGTGATATTTTGAAATTCACAAGTCTAGACTTGTTCACGTAATAATATTCATTAGCGATATGTAAATGTCATCAAATTAAAACATTATTTCCACGAATACTGTTATCAAAGTATTGATTTCCTATCATTATCATTATTATTATTAATATTATTATTATTGTTATTATTATTATTATTATTATTATAAAAAAATCTCATAACACTCTGGCAATATTAACATTAATGTGTTTTTAAATTAATAATAATAATTATAATCTTTGTAATCAACGTATATTTCTTTTTTTTTCTTTTCTTTAAATGATCGAAAAGGTAACTGTTTGCTTTTTTTTTTTATCGTGCTAAAGCAATAAAAATTACGTAAAGGCACGATCAAACTCTTTCGTAAGTTCGATTAAAAATAATTTTTTTGTAAATATCATATTTGCCAATGAAAAATTCAATTGTTCTTTTTTTACATGAGCTAGCAATGTTTTTTTTTCGTTAGATCTTATTAGCTATGATCTTGATATGATTGATGCATGTAAATATTCTTAATAATCTGCCTGCATATTTAAGAATACCACAATCATTTTATTATCATTTTCAATTACTTCTTTTTTTATATGTTATTTAAATAGTTAAAGAGATTAACTATGCATTATTATGTAATATAATATTACGTATTCAATCGAATTTGAAATGTTAATACATGTGTATATAACGCTAATCGTTAATTCGATATCCCTTTTCTGAATATAATACAGCTAATTAAATTCTCGAGATTATTTATATGTAATTAGATATCTCTAAAATTATTTTAAATATTAAATAATAGGTCAAATTTGACAGAATTATTCCGATAATTATTCTGTCATTGTTAAAAATCATTTATTAAGACAATTATTTAAATAAAAGATACTTTGTTTATCGTTATTTGTGTTTCACACAACGAAATAAAAACAAAATATAATAATAATAATATTATAATAATAATAATATTATAATAATAATAATAATATAATAATAATAATAATAATAATAATAATAACAATAATAATAAAAAAAGGAAAAAGAATATTATGTTTTAAAAAAGTTTGGAAAAAAAATATGAACGAAGAGCATCGTACGATGATATTGATGAAATATCTATATTCATTTTTATTGTTTTAAAGTAATATTGCAACGTCAAAGGTGCTTCACAATATGTTCGTAGAGCGGTATTGTTCTCCTTTCAAAAATTGTCATTTTTTAATTTAATGATTACCGTATATGAAATTTCATATTTACGTAATACTTTTACTCGAATTGTAGGCAACGCATAATAAATAAGATACGCATTTGTAAGAATTTGAAAACTATACATTATCATATTATTATATTTAAACAATGACATGAAACTTGTATAAACAATTAGTTGAAATACTTCCTTTTGTCATTTAAAAACGATTTTTTTTTAGTTTATCTTCACACATTATTACAATGTATCTAAAACAGAAATAATTTTTGTTTATATAATTCACGTTCATATCGACAATTCAAGTAAAAGTTTCGTATTTTCGGAGTCAAAAATTTCAGTAGGGAAAATTATACAAATCGATAGTTTAATCGCTCAAATATTATTAAACTATTATATATTATATAACGGGGAGAAGATCAACAGAATCTTAAGAATACTTTAACTTTTGTTTGGTGACATTAGGAGTACATTCATGATGAGATAGTGTATCGTTCTCCATTCTTTGTCTTTCTTATATTTCTTTCCTTTCTTATTTTTTTTTCTTTTTGCATTTTGATAAATCATGAATATAATTCATATATATTCATTAGGATGTGTTCATTCGCAATCTTAAAACTTATATACTAAACAATTTCTTTTTATGGTGTTTAAACAGCATCTACGATTAATCTATGTCTTAACATTACATTAAAAATGAATAGAAAAATTGCGAACTAATTAAATTAATGCTGTTTTGTTTTTAAGACACCCGGCGACTAATGAACGTTGTCGCTAAGTAAAAAAAAATAGCAAAAAAGAAATTAATTCCATCGCTATAACGAAAATATCTGCTGGCCATTCTCATAAACCAGTATTTTGTACATAGTTCTTTAAAACGTTATTACGTTTTTCTTTTTTTTCTTTTTTTAAATTTTTTTTTCTTTTCTTTTTTCTTCTTTTTTTTTTTGTTCCATATAATTTTGATATTTTATAGAGAAGAAGAACACGAGAGAAGAACAAAACTAAGTCGTTAGAAACGATATCGGCGAGCACTTAAAATGTATAAATTACACGTATTAATAATCAACGTCTTAACTATTACGTAGGTATTCGAGCGAATATATATCTCTCGATGAAAATATTCGGAGCTTATCTCTGTAAAACAGAATTGTTTAATATTACGTTGTTTCAGGTTTATGAGCTTAGCGAATACTCCCATTATTTATTTGCCTTAGCTATAAACGTGTGATCGGTTGGAGTTTTAAGAGAATAAATAAAATAACTTTACAAATGTTAATTTTGATGAATTTCACTATATAAGAACATCATATATATATATACACATGTTATGCATTGGAAAGTCATAGTAGGGTACAGTTTTTTTTTCGCTTCTTTATAGTAGAATATGCATAGAATAGGTTTGTTACAACATATAATGATTTGGTTGGACCTAACTATAATAATCAATACTTTAATGCGTCCGCCAGCCCGACGCGACTGGTGGGATAGGAGGTGGGAGTGGAGTCGGAGGAGGAGGGAGGGAGCGTAGGTCGGGTGTCATTCATTCGGTGATTTTAGGTCCGATTCGTAATAATGGACGGGGGCAGAGAGTACACGGAGAAGGAGGAGGGGGTGGAGGAAGATGGATATTCAAGGGAGGAAAGGAGACAAAGATAGGATGAGACAATAAGAGTTCCGAAGGAGGATAAGGGGGAGGGAGAGTCTAACAGGAAATATATTTGAGTTTTTATTTTATCATAACTACCATTAGAGATCCAATGTGGTTTTCTTTTTTTCTCTTTTCGTTCTTTCTTTATTTTTCATCTTTTTTTCTTTTTATCAGTTTTTTATTATTATTATTATTATTCTTATTTATTATTATTATTATTATTATTATTATTATTATTATTATTATTATTATTATTAATCTCTTTTACCTCGTTCCTTGGTAATCTTATTCAGAATACTAAACTTTTAAGTGGCGTCATAATATTACTTTAAATTCATGATAATAAAGTCTATTCGTATGAGAGTTTAACTGCGTGTCAACGTGTCTCATACCATATATATATATATATATATATATAATATAATTTTAATAATAGTATTGTATATAATATATTTACTACTTGCATATCACAACATAAATTTTTTTCTCTCTGCTCTCTCTCTCTCACTCTTTCACTCTCACACTTACTCATTCACCCGCTCTTTTTATCTCGCTCGTTTACTTTCTCTCCCTTCTCCCTTCTCTATCTCTCTCTTTTTTTCTTTTCTCCACTAGTTTTTTTTCTTGTTTTCTTTTTGATATACGACACACTCATGTACACCACCAAACATACACGCAATTTTCTTCCATACGCGCGATTGACATATATCATTCGTACAGTGTTTTTTTTTCGCAAACACACTCATATGATTTATTTTTTTCCATCTACATAATTGTTATAACGCTGCGGTAGTCGAGTAGTGGTTGAGTTTTTAAGCATTGTAGCGTCTTTCAAGAGAGCTTTATTTATCCTTTAATTATCGAAACTCTATGTTCATTTTTTTTTCTTTGCTAATTTTTATTTTCCATCAAATGAAAGATGAGATAATAATAATGATAATTCTTTTCTCTGTCTTTCTTTTTTTCTTTCTTTCAATTTCTATCTTTATCCTTTTTTAATCTCGATCGAAACTTTTCTCACCGCAAAATGCATACTGAAGGGGGAAAGTGTTGGAACAACAACTAGTTCTTTTTCTTTTTAATTTTTTTTTCTTATTCTTGTTCTCATTTTCTTGCTTGTCTTTTTCTCATACAAGGCGACAGCATAGGATACGATCAAGATCTATACATTTTTAGATCATTTTAACTGAACAACAGCAATGCATAGTCGCGATGATCCAATGATCGATAGAGTCTGATCGAAAACAGCTATAGCACACAACACACTGGCTCCATCGAAAGACTATAAAATAAGCATTTTTTATTCAGTGCAAAAAACACCGAGCAAAGTGTACGCGTGTATGTGTATACATGTGTATGTTTATGTTTGAGGTGTATATATATGTATGCATGAACTATGTCTCGTTTTATAAATTATACACATGGCAATACGTTCTCGATAAGAAACGAAAATTAGAATTTATTATAATTTCAGAATCGTATTTCATTCTTATTTTTTCCAATAGTAACAATAACTTTCTCTATTTGGTGGATGTCATCGTGTTCGTTGCTATAGATCAATCATTGTCGCGTTATCAATAATCATTATACGATATATATCTTTTCATTCGTCTAATAATTTCACACATGAAAATGTCTTTTTTTAAATTATTTTTTTTTTTAAATTCAAAGAAATATTATTTGTCTTTCTTTCTTTTTATATTCTATCCTTGTCTATTTTAAATTCATGAAATTTTATATATCGAGTAACGTGTCAAACGTTTATGTGTACGTTTATATGTGCTTGTCTCATTTTCTTGTTCCACGCTTTCAAATTCTTTCTTTTTTTACTATTTTTTGTTAAAATTTCTTTTCTTTCCTTTTACCTTCTAACTGTCTCATTTTTTTGTCTCATTCTATTTTTTTCTACCGATCTCAACAAGTAAACGAGTAAAATTACGTAATAATTTGTGCTACATTGCTCATGAGCTCAGCCACTAGCATTTATACATCAGCATAAAACCTTAGAAATCATGGCTCAGCTCGAAGTTATTCGTGCTGGGCTCACATTTAAACACGACCTCAGAACATCCAGGGCAGCCGATTAAAGTATGCAGCAGGAGGCTGAGCAGCAACTGCTACCACCACCTTTACTTTTTTGCCTTTGATCTGAAACAAAAAGGGAAATGATTTCACATTATGTTTCTTATAATTTATATAATACGATCATGATATTAGTTATTATGAAAAAATTTACGACGSTTGTATTTTTGATTGGTTTTTATTTTATTTTATTGAAAATCGCACTACGTAAACATAAACGTGAACATTAAATGAGGTAAATAAGGAAATGTGATAATCGAGAATGATAGTACAAATATTATGTAAAATAAATAATTATAAATAAGATCAAAGCAAAATGCGTTTGAATAAAAATATAACTATTGGTAATGATTTTTGCATCGCAAATAAATGTTATCGAAATATTTTCAAATGTTTTTAAACGAGAATAAGGATATTTTTGTGAAGGATTAAAAAGGTATTTGAGATTCATTTATAACATAAGAATCAAATAATCCTAATTAGTTGTCGTTGTAGTCAAGATAGTCAGGTTGAATATACATGTACTGACCATTAGATAGGAAACTTACAAGGAATGAAAATGTTTGTCATTGTTTAAACGTATCCTATAAGTAAGTACGTAATCTAAAAACGCGTGAGAGAAACATTAGCATTGTGTAACATAATTATCTATTTTCATGACCAACAAGAAGCAACAGGTTAAGAGAAAAGAATCTTTGAGATTGCTAACATATCTCATTACTTTTGATAGTAAAGATAGTGGTAGACGAAATTACGGGTATTATTTTTTTTATTCGCGTTAAACTGCTATAAACCTCCGTTTTAATTACTCGAAATTAATCGCGGGGTTTTTAAGTTATGAGCACGCATACTTCTCGACGAAAAAAGAAAGAAAGAAAAAGAAAAAGAAAAAAAAATAAAGCCAAAAAAGACTATTGCAATCGTGACTAATTGCAATTTTATTAATGAAACGTTTAAAATTTCACGTAACAAAGGTATATATATATCTCAAGAATAAGGAAGGAGGGAGGAGGGGAAATAAATTAAAAGACGAGAAAAACGTGGGAGGTTGTTTTTTTTTTATTTCTCTCCTCTTACCTTGGGAATTAGGCTCGGGAAGATTTTCTCGTGGTACCAAATGCATCACCGTGGTTTTCCCGAAAGGAAGCCCAAGTGCACCGAGCGTGACATTGCTGTGCAGAAAACGACCCTGATAGATTAGCCGCAGGATCTCCGCTTTGGCAACAGCCTCTTCCGCCCAGTCTGAAGAAACAAAAGTATTCTTTTAGCACTGAAATACCTTTTTTGTGATCCGCATTTTCGAGCTTCCACAAGCTTAATCTTTTAAAACGTCGAATGAAGAAATTGAAAGATGCTTCGATTAAAAACTCGATAATCTTACTAAACTATTCAAAAAATAAAAAGAAAGAATCTTTTAATTTAAAAAAAAAAAAAAATCTTTTCAATAAATTACAGATCCGTTTTCTCGTTTGTTTGTTTTCTCTCTCTCTCTCTCTCTCCTAAAATCCGACCACCGATTATCAAATTTTATAATGGATTGATTGGTAATTATAAGAATGACGTATAATCGATAAGAAAAGCATCGAAAAGATTTCATTTAGTTTAAAAGAGTTAAATTTAAACTCAAGAACCATACAACATGTTCAGCTTACTACTCTCTTCTTCTTTTTCTTCTTGTTCTTCTTTGCTTTGCTAGTGATTTACGAGGATCAACGATGATTTTTCAATCCACGAAGTTGTTTGAAAGATTCTCGATACAATATAATCGACAGTAGCTTAGCTCGGTCTCATAAATCTTATGTTCCGTTTGAATTAAACCGACTACTAACGATCGCCTTTCCTATCCGGTATTCTCTCTCTATCCGGTGTGTTCTACACACAGAAGCATCTGCGGAATGTCGAAATCCAATAACAACCTACCTTCCGGCCAGTTTTCAAACACATGGTGCGCTATATCCCCCGCGGAGTCGCTCGGACTGAATAGGAACTCTTTTGTCTTACCACTGACGAGGATGAGGCGTAGATTTATCTGTAACATATCAAAAGCAACAACATGAACAAAAATTCCGAATATTTTTTGAACATTAAACTAACAAATATACTTCTATATTTTCATTAAGTAACGTACGACGTAGACATATGTGTTAAATAATCTCTCATTGTGTAAATCCACCATTCTGTAAACATTTTCTGTCGTATATCCTCGATTAATTATGTTTGATGCAAGATAGACAAAATTATTATTTATTTTTATTAGATATATATATATACAACGCGTATTTTATACATGTTAAATTAATCGAATCAAAGGTATTACTTACACATATATGTATTTTTATATTAGCATAAATAAAAACTAATAACGTTTTAGCGCCAACAGCAATGTGTCGGTAATTGTATAGTACGAAAAGTTTTAATATCAAGTTCTTTAATATTTGTATTTTTTTATTTTCTATTTGGTTTCTTTTTCTATTTTTAATCTATTACGAAAAAAAAAGTATCGATTTCATATCTACCTATCTCGCAAAAGTTATTTTTTTTTATTTCTTTTTTTCCCTTCCCAATATCATTTCAACGTCGGATGAATTTTTTCAATCTTCACGAACGATCGGATCTCTATAATAAAAAGACCGAAGGGTATATACTATTAGTATATATATATATATGTTCTTTCTTCCCCCCTCTCTCACCCTTCCTTCTCTTCTTTCTTTCTTCCTTTCTTTCTTTCTTTCTCTATTTCTGCCTCTCTACCAGTTTATCTATCTAACCAACTATCTGCGACACTTCAACACGAATCTATCGACCCGAGCACCCTTTCCGTAACTTCCATCCCTTTTCTGCGACAAACGAGTTGGCGCTTTTGGACAAGGCGCAGGGCTCTTAACCGACTTTTTTTTCTTCCTTAACCGCATATCCATCGAGTCTTTTTCTTCCTTCGTGTACTTGCGGATCACAACGTGAGGAAAGTATTTTCTCCCGCAACATCTCATATTTTTTTTTTCATATGTATTTCTTCGTCATTCTACACATAATCCTTTATGATCCTTACTAGAGGTCAATACATCACAAAAGTATTTGAAATACAATTTTTAATTGGATTTTTATCACTTACTTTTATACATCGTTGATATTATACGATGTATATATATTCTTTTTTGTTCTTTTCTTTTAAAAATGTAAAATAAATAAATAATGCAATTTTTGTTATAAATACTAATTGTAAGAGATATTTGCTTCTATTTATTTCCATTAAAAAAAGCAGGCTTTATCGGTCAATCACGTGTTAGACATAAGAAAATGATATATAAGTTCATGATATATCTAATAAAATAAAACAAATATTTTACTTTTGTGATAAAGTGTTGTTTAACACGTTAACGTGAGAGACGGGATCGTAGTTTGTATGTCATTCCTTCCGATCGATAATTTTATTATTACTATTTCTTTTTGTCTCCATTAAACCGACGATTAATTTGAATAAAAAGTTTGTACCATCAGTGGTAACAAACAATCATACATGTAACACTGGTGGATGCATCCACTGTGCATTAACCGCTTTATATTTGTTTGTATTTTATATTCTTTTATACGAATTATTTTTACTAAAAAAAATAAAAAGGAAAAAACAAAAGAGGAAGGAAAAATGCAAGTATAAAAAAGTATTAAATAAAGATCGGTATTAAAGAAATTTGTTGTCGTGTATTCATATTTATATTCTATATATTATAATATTAAATAATATTAAATTATTTATATACATATATATATATGTACATTGATAAAACTTAATCCTTAGTGCAACGGATGTTTCTTTTTTTTTTATTATTATTATTGTCCTTATTATTTAATCGTATTAAAAAGTTTTCAAATTAAGGGCGTTTTTCGTTGGTATGTACTTTGGCGAATGCGAATTCAATTATCGAACGAGAAGCAGTCGGCATAAATAATCACGGACGTCGAGTAGGAGAGACAGAGAAAGAGTGAGAGGTGGAAGAGCAAGAGGTGGAAACGGGAAAGGGAGAGGAAGACTCGATAAAAGGGTGTAGTCTGGAGGGGCTTCAGGTCGAAAGAGAGTAGAGAGGAGAAGGAGAGGGCGGTAGGGCTTTACTACGCCCAGCTCGTGACCCTTTACGGTCTTTGCGGTCGCAAGAATCCGTTGTTCGGCCGCTAAAGCGTAAATCATTGTCCTCGTCGCACGAATTATCGGCCGATGCTAAAGGCATACACACACGCACACACGCACATACACACATTCATACATGGTATACACATAGGGTCCTTCGGCTCAGCAAATGCTGCCAAACGCTTGGCCAACCCTTTAGCGAATTTGATAATGTCACCTTGGCACGATCATTCCTTTAACTTTGATTCATACTTTTTACATGGAATAATACAAAAGTCAGATAAAGGTAAAAAGAAAAAAGAAAAAAAAGAAAAGAAAATGGATGGATATTTTTCTTAAACGGTCATTTCAATGTCTTTTCACATAAATTATTACATACGTATATGTAGTAATCCGTGTTAAAACGTTATCGAGTTGAGAAAGAATAAAAAAAAGCCGTGAAATTTATTCGAATAATAAAGTCAGCAAGTATAGCTATGTCAAAGTCTATATATTAAATCGACAAGAAATTTCTTCTAACGTTTCGATTTATTCTAATATATTTCTCTTTTATGATGTAGATAAAACGATAAAGTTGCATGAATAAAGATGAGAGAAAGTAATAGGAAGAAAACGAAAAAATAAGGTAACTGTTTAAGAACTTTTCTTTATGTAATTGCATGTAAGTTCAAAACGAAACATATGGATTTTGTAAAAAAGAAAAAAAAACAAAAAGATAAGGCAAAGATTAACGAATAAAAGTTCATTTTAATGATAAAGAACTAATAATATTAATAATAATATTAACAATATTAATAATAATCATAATTCAAGTACGGGAACGCTAGTTGGATTAATTATGGAATTACAAATGATGAATAGAGATGAGAGTGAACAGATGAAAGAGATATCGAGATTGCGAGAGGAAGAAGGACAGATAGAGAGAGAGAGAGAGAGAGAGAGAGAGAGAGAAAGAGAGAGAAGAACAGATACAAAGAGAGAGAGAGAGGGAAAGAGAGAGGGAGAGAGAGAATTTCAACAGAGGATCGTTTCTGAAGAGACGATAAGTCCTCCTGAGAGTATCGAGCGCTTGTTTCCTCTTGAAGGAGACGGAAGCGAGTTGCTTTCACGATTAACCGTTATCGTTCGACGTGAACGAGCCGAATTTTAAGCGTTTGCTCGTTACACCGAAAGCGTCCCTTCGGAAGCCCAGAAGAGTATAGGAGACAGAGAGAGAAAGAGTAAGAGAGAAAGAGAGGGAAAGAGAAAATGAGAAAGTAAGGGAGAGAGAATTTATAAGAATGAGTGAGTGAGTGAGTTAGTTAGAGAAAGAGAGACAGAGGAAAAGGGAGATAGTGAGAGGGCAGACAGAAAGAGGAAGGAGATCGATGTTTAAAGTTTGGAAGTCTAGTCGTCGACAGGCCTCCCTTCGATAGCTCTTCGAAAATATAAAGAGGGATCGCTTTGACGATACTTGAACGATCTTGCTGCGAGCTTAAATGTTAAAATCGACAAACTGTAGTCTTGTAAACTACATTTATAGTAAGACCAAGTTATGCGTAGTAAATACATATATATGTATTTACGTTGATTTGTAGCATCATATTATATATATATACATAATAAAGTGTGTGAAAGAATGGAATTGGACTATGTCAAGATTCACACGTGGTAACTTACTGTATTTTGGAAGTATTGATGTATTAGAATAGACCTTAATATTCGGTCTTACACATATATATTATATATATTATTTTTAATAACTTTTCTTAGCTATTATTTATTACATATTATTTTTAGATGTTAATTAAAGTTTACGCAGTTTAGTTGTTTATATTTTGGGACACTCGGTATATATACTCGGTAAATTATTACTTGTGGATTAATGCAAATTATAAAGTTCTATTTTATTTTATATTACAATTATTTATATTATAAAATAAATCACTCAACGGGTTACGTTGGATTACTAGTACACGTCAAATTACCAAAGGCAAGCAACGTTGGCACGGTTAATAAAATGGAAGGGTGACACGTTCGTGGAAAACAAAAACCGTGTGTTGTTGACTCCAGCCAGAGGCGGTAAAAAGACGCGACCCCTTTGATAATATTGGATAAGTGTGAGGTATTCGTAGAGAAGTGACTCGTACTTGAAAAAAAAGGGAAGATAAAAAGAAGACACGTTATATTATAAAATAAATCATAAATTGAATTTACTTTTCAATTTTCTTGACTTACTATTAGGTATCATTGTCCTAATTGCCATTATAGTGAGTAAAGAAGCAAACAAAAAAAAACAATTTGAAGAATAAGAAGAAGAAGAAGAAGGTAATAAACAAACATGAAATCAACGAATTTATTTTCTTATTATGACACTTATCATCAAGCACGCTTCGTTCCACCCATTAAAATTTTTTCTTTGATTCCCTTAAAAAAAAAAAAAAAAAATAAAGAAAAAAGAGAAATTGTAACAAACGGATAAAGAATATAAAATGAGAGAAATAAAATAAAAAAGAAAAAGAAAGAGAGACGTGTGCGTGCTCTTATTGGTTAAAAAAGTCCCGAAGAGACTCAAGTGTCGTTGAATTGTGGTAACTTGCGTACAATGTTGCGTGCATAAGGCGAAGTTGCGTTATCTTCTTGTTTTGAAGTCGTGGAACCGTGGAAAGAGAAAAGGGTGTATCGTTGCCTCATGGTCCAAGAGAGAGAATCAGAGAGAAAGAGAGTGAGAGAGAGTTTTCGGAGAGTCGGTCGACCAACACGTACTTCAAAGGGATTTATTCATGCGGTAGCGTTCGATACTCTCACTCTTCTTTTTCTCCATCAGTCTACCCATCTTCTCTTTCTCTCTCTTTCTCTCTCTCTCTCTCTCTCTCTCTCTTATGGCTCTTGGCAAGTGGAGTAACACGTTGAACCGAACGCGTACT